GTACTCTTAGAGGGAGGTACAACATTCTAGACACTCATTTTTTTGGAGAGCAAACTATTTTCGAAATCCTCTTTCCTTTTTCATAGTTAATGCAATTTTTCTTTCTATTGGTCGTTTTTAGATGCAACATGACTTTTTTTTTGCGTTTGCTGTAAAACAATGTTAGATCATATTTAAAGTATAATTTAAAGGAATGTATTCTATAAAGACCTTAGACTTTTTTTGACTATAATCTATGGTACCTACCTTCGTCTATAATACGGACAATACTTCTTTATACTTTCGAGTATGTTTATATCTATATTCCCGACTTAAGTCCAGAATATAGTCTCGAGAATAGTCCCGACTACAGATTTCTCTATAGACTAGTATATAGTTATTACTGTAGTCTCGTCTATAGTCCCAATTATAACCTCCTACATACTCCTAACTGTAGTATATAGTCCCGACTATAATCTTGACTATAGTCATGATGATAGTTTCGTCCTTAGTGCCGAAGTTTCGTCTAACGTGTTGATTATATTCCTGGCTATAGACGACACTATAGTCCTGACAGTATTTTCATCTATACTGTCGACTGCAGTCTCATCTATAGTCCCGCCTTTAGTAAAGTGTATACTATAGCCATCACTATAGTTTTCGTCTGCAGTCAAGTTTATAGTTCCGACCATAGTCTCGTCCCGAATATAGTCTTGTTTAGATACTTCATCTACTATCCCGACTATATTACCGACTAAAGGCTAATACATATATTCCCGACTCTATTCTCATATATAGTCCCGACTGTATTCAAGTCTATAGTTTCATTTATAGTCCCGACCAGGGCCCAAATTACGGCATACGATATCGATCGAAATCTCAATAGAATCTAAATGGAGATTTCGATCGATATCGTATGCCATAACTTGATTATATAACTTGACTATAGTCTCATTTATACTTAGTACCGACTAAGGTCTGGTCTACAGTCTAAATTGAGATTTCGATCGATATCGTATGCCATAATTTGGGCCCAGAGTCTTGTCTGAATGTCTCGAATATGGTCTAGCCTATAAACTTGACTATAGTCTCATTTATACTTAGTACCGACTAAGATCTGGTCGACAGTCAAGTCCATACTCCCGAATATATAATCTTCTATAGTCTTGACTATAGTAACGACTATAGTTTCGTTAAAAGTCTGGTCATTACAGACCCGACTCTTTTCTGTCTCTATTTTCAGTTGTACTGACTTTATCATCGCCAGTACTATAGATCCTATTCTGAACTATAGCCTTGTTTATACTCAACATTTTGATAACATAAATGATTGGATTTCTACAAAAGTCTTCGATGTTCATTACATGTTGTTCCTTCAAATATTTTTTCTGACAAAACGAAATGTCATATGACAGTGTTGCTTTGATTGTTGGACACAATATGAATGTGCAAACATCATAGGAAAGGAAAAACGAAACATACATAGAATAAAAAGGATAAAAATGTTTAGAAAAATTTAGCTGTATTTTAAAAACAACTAGGAAAGCAGGGCAAACAACATTTTTGTATGTGCCTGACTGGCATTCGCCCGTTCCCTCAACATCAGTTTCATATCAAAAAATTGTTGTTTATTGAATAAAATTGTATGACTCTGAGTCATCATCATTATCATCATCCACATCATGAACACACATACTTGCTATAAAACAATAAAACAGCATTGTTTTAATAACCCAGCAAACATTTAAGAGTAAGTTACAAAACAAATGTTAATGATTTAGTTTTAAGTCCTTTTCAAAAATTTAAAAATAATTGTGGAAAATATGAAAATCATAAAATTCTTTAGTTTTATAAATAATTGATTTTATGTTTGCTGGGTAACTACTTACTATGTGTTTTAGATTTAACATTGCTGTGTGTGTTTGTTTGCTTAGATGTTACAAAAAAAATGTTAAACGAGCATAGCAAGTTTAGTTGGTAACAGCTGTTAACTGTTGCTAATTGATGTGATTTTAATTGAGGTTGCAATTTGCAATTTGTCTCAAAAATTGACATTATTGACATATTTGACATGTCTTCATGTACCCTCGGTTACATACTGAGATATATACATAAATACATATAAACCCTTGTTTAGTTACGAGGACAATTTAAGGAGAAATTTTAATTTAGATTAATTTAGACAATGCATTAGACAGAATTGTAGTCTCAAGTAGTAGTCCAAACTATAGTCTTGTTTATAGTGCAGACTACAGTCTTGTCCCGACTACAATCTTGTCCAGACTATAGTCTTGTCTAAAGTCCAGACTATAGTCTTGTCTACAGTCCAGACTATAGTCTTGTCTACAGTCCAGACTATAGTCTTGTCTATAGTCCAGACTATAGTCTTGTCTATAGTCCAGACTATAGTCTTGTCTATAGTCCAGACTATAGTCTTGTCTATAGTCCAGACTATAGTCTTGTCTATAGTCCAGACTATAGTCTTGTCTATAGTCCAGACTATAGTCTTGTCTATAGTCCAGACTATAGTCTTGGATATAGTCCAGACTATAGTCTTGTCTATAGTCCAGACTATAGTCTTGTCTATAGTCCAGACTATAGTCTTGTCTATAGTTCAGACTATAGTCTTGTCTATAGTCCAGACTATAGTCTTGTCTATAGTCCAGACTATAGTCTTGTCTATAGTCCAGACTATAGTCTACTATAGTCTTGTCTATAGTCCAGACTACAGTCTTGTCTATAGTCTGGTCGATAGTCCAGACTATAGTCTTGTCTATAGTCTTGTCTACAGTCCAGACTATAGTCTTGTCTACAGTCCAGACTATAGTCTTGTCTATAGTCCAGACTATAGTCTTGTCTATAGTCCAGACTATAGTCTTGTCTATAGTCAAGAATATAGTCCAGACTATAGTCTTGTCTATAGTCAAGAATATAGTCCAGACTATAGTCTTGTCTATAGTCAAGAATATAGTCCAGACTATAGTCTTGTCTATAGTCAAGAATATAGTCCAGACTATAGTCTTGTCTATAGTCAAGAATATAGTCCAGACTATAGTCTTGTCTATAGTCCAGAATATAGTCTTGTCTATAGTCCAGACTATAGTATTGCCTATAGTCCTGACTATAGTCTTGTCTATAGTCCATACTATTGCCTATAGTCCAGACTATGGTCTTGTCTATAGTCCAGACTATAGTCTTGTCTATAGTCCAGACTATAGTCTTGTCTATAGTCCGGACTATAATCTTGTCTATAGTCCAGACTATAGTCTTGTCTATAGTCCAGACTATAGTCTTGTCTATAGTCCAGACTATAGTCTTGTCTATAGTCCAGACTGTAGTCTTGTCTATAGTCCAGACTATAGTCTTGCCTATAGTCCAGATTATAGTATTTTCTATAGTCCAGACTATAATATTGTCTATAGTCCTGACTATACTATTGCATATAGTCCAGACTATGGACTACAGTCCAGACTATGGACTACAGTCCAGACTATAGTCTTGTCTACAGTCCAGACTATAGTCTTGTCTACAGTCCAGACTATAGTCTTGTCTACAGTCCAGACTATAGTCTTGTCTATAGTCCATACTATTGCCTATAGTCCATCCTATTGCCTATAGTCCAGACTATAGTCTTGTCTACAGTCCAGACTATAGTCTTGTCTATAGTCCAGACTATAGTCTTGTCTATAGTCCAGACTATAGTATTGTCTTTAGTCCAGACTATAGTCTTGTCTATTTTCCAGACTACAGTCTTGTCTATTGTCCAGACTATAGTCTTTTTTATTGTCCAGACTATATTGTTTTGTCTATAGTCCAGACTAAAGTCTTGTCTTGTCTATAGTCTTGTCTATAGTCCAGACTATAGTCTTGTCTACACTTCAGACTATAGTCTAGTCTATATTTCATAGTATAGTCTTGTCTATAGTCCAGACTATAGTCTTGTATATTGTCCAGACTATAGTCTTATCTATTGTCCAGACAATTGTCTTGTCTTTAGTCCAGACTATAGTCTTGTCTATACTTTAGATTATAGTCTTGTCTATAGTCCAGACTACAGCCTTGTCAGGTATTGTCTATAGTCGCCTATAGTCTTGTCTATATTCCAGACTTTAGCCTTCTCTACAGTCCAGTAGTTTTGTCTATAGTCCAATCTTCTCTGCAGTATAGACTGTAGTTTTTCTTTTATTCTGGTATGTAGTTTTCTGTAGTCTATAGTCTTCTTGACAGTCTGGACAATAGTTTGACTTTTAGTCTTTTCTATTATCTTCTCTATGGTCTAGTCTATAGTCCAGTCTATGTCTATTCAGTAGCCTATAGTTCAGTCTTTAGTCTAGCCTACCGGCAAGTATATTCTGGACAAAATTCGGTAGTAAGGACATATGACCTTTCTGATCATAACTAACAAAATCTTTTAGTTTTAGCCTCGTATTTTTTAAAAATATTTTTTTCTACTTTCTATTTTATATAGTTTCTATTTGTTGGTCAATTTGGGGTCCTTTTTATCCTTCTAGAGCAATTTCCATTGTGATTGTCTTTGTTGGTGTGTTTTTATTTCCACCAAATGAGGTTGTACAAGAAATTGACCCTTTTGGCTATTTTTAGCAACAGGACAAGACGAAAAAAAACACGATTTCAATTTATCTACAAAATCTATGTTTGATGACTTCAAATGGAAGTTTAATATTTGTTTGACGATTTATGGGGCAAATTTTTAGGAAATGCATATTAACGGAAATGGTATCTGATTTACATAGTAATATATGAACAAAAAAAGTTTTTAAGTTTACGAAAGGGATAAAGAACTTTTTTGTACTTAATAAAATTTGTATAAATTAAAATTAGGCAAATTGTGGTCAATATGATGTTAAGATTTAAAAAGTGTTATGTCTTAGAAATGTTTTAAAAGAATGCTGCTTAAAGCTTAAGGCGATTTAAACATGGTTTAACAAAGTTTTTTGGATTTGCAACTGGCAGCATATTTTATTTAAAATTTGATGATTAAAATGTATGTTCCAACTTACCGGCTTGTGCTCTGTCTAGATTTGATGTCATCATAAATATAATGGCCATACTGACATATACAATATTCTCCATAAAGCGCCTTCTCTTGAAGCTTCTTTTTATCTTTAAGGTATTTTGTTGTTGAGGCATTTTGTATTCCGCTTGATAATTTATATTATAGAGTAGTGTTAAGCCCATGAAGTAGAAATTTTGTCGTTAATTATATGATTTTTTTTTGTATTGAAACTGAAATTGAAAAAAAAAACAAAAATAAAACAAATTAATTAATATGACTTATGGAAGGAAAAATTATGACTTTTTAATTAATATTTTTTAGAAAATTAAAGCCGTAAACGTTTCTGTAAATGGAACGATAAGTGGCTTTTAATAATTTTTACTAATTTGCCAAAATTAATAATATTTTATATGTTTTAATTTTTCAACTTTTTAACCAAAACTTGGCTAATTTGCTTAAAGTTAACCCACAGCCTGAAGCACCAAAAAGGTGTAAGTTTAAAAGCATCTTGTTTTAATAATGAGCATTAAATTGTTCTCTATAAAAGAATATATGCAATTTTAAAAATCCTTAATGTAATAATACAAATATTTTCCATCCCTGCAGTTCAAATAGCACCTAAATATTTAATTATTACTACTAAAGCGAAGCTTTTAGAACTAAGCTTTAAGCTTATCATTAAGTTATAACTAGCTATAAAATAGCTTCAAGCATAGATCAGAATTTTGTTTTGTACGCTTTCAGCGTAAAAGCTTACAAACATGGAGCTTTACATAGTCCCAAATAAGCTTTAAGCTTTGGTTTAAATTAAACTTTAAGCTTCTCTGATTGAAAAAAATCTATACCTTAACTTATACTTTTAATTGTTGGTGAATGTACTTTTGTCATATTTATCAGAACCTACTGGGTTATACTTTCCACTTTGTGGGTTTAATTTATAAAATAAAAACCCATTTACATTAAATAAGTTAAGTGAATTTTGTGTTTTTTTCTCCTCGAGACTATTACTATATAATATTTTATATTAATAACTTAATTATATTTGCATTTACTGGCCAGACCAAAAGTTGAAAGCAAATGAGCAACAAACCAAAGCCAGCACCCAACTTCATAATGAAGTTCCCTATAACTGTTGAGTTAGTAGGGAAAACTAGTATGATTTAAAATGTAATAGAAAACAGCAAAAAAAAGAGTTTAGAGTTTTTATAAATAAATAACTCCACATGCTGGCTACAAACCGCTGTTTTCAAATAAAATCCTCCATATTTAAATAAAAAAAAAAAAACATTTAAAACCCAATTTTTACAACTTTACTAGCTCTTTTAGTCTAAATACAAAATTTTATTTAATTTTCAATTATTTATTTTAACTATAAAACTATGTACATAACTATGTGTATATGAATTTATAATATTTTTAACACTTCCATAGACATGTTCATTTGCTCGCATCTATAATTCTATTAAATTTTAAATAATTTTTCCATCATAAAATATTTAAACATTTTAATTTTTCTATTACAATGTATACTCAAGCAAATGGTTTTTACTCTATATAATTGTTTAATTTATGGTTAATTAGTAGCTCTGTAAATATTTGTTAAGCAAGCAAATTGAAATAAATTTCAGAGGATAATAGACGACTGTTAAATAAAAGCTAAATTGACTGTTAAATAAAAGCTAAATTGACTATAGCACTGTCTATAGTCTGAACTATAAAACAGTTAATAGTCTGGACTATAGAACATTCTATAGTCTGGACTATAGCACAGTCCAGACTATAGAACAGGCTATAGCCAGACTATAGAACAGGCTATAGCCTGGATTATAGAACATTCTATAGTCTGGACTATAGAACAGTCTATAGTTTGGACTATAGAATAGCCTATAGTATGGACTATAGAACAGTCTATAGTCTGGACTATAGAACAGTCTATAGTTTGGACTATAGAATAGCCTATAGTATGGACTATAGAACAGTCTATAGTCTGGACTATAGAACAGTCTATAGTCTGGACTATAGAACAGTCTATAGTCTGGACTATAGAACAGTCTATAGTATGGGCTATAGAACAGTCTATAGTCTGCACTTAGAACTGTCTATAGTCTGGACTATAGAACATCCTATAGTCTGAACTATAGAACAGTCTATAGTCTGGACTATAGAACAGTCTATAGTCTGGACTATAGAACAGTCTGTAGTCTGGACTATAGAACAGTCTATAGTCTGGACTATAGAACAGTCTATATTCTAGACTATGGAACAGTCTATAGTCTGGACTATGGAACAGTCTATAGTCTGGACTATAGAACAGTCTATAGTCTGGATTATAGAACAGTCCTTAGTCTGAACTATAGAACCGTCTATAGTCTGGAATACAGTACAGTCTATAGTCTGGACTATAGAACAATCTATAGTCTGGACTATAGTTTGAAAATGTACATTATTCTGAATTGTATTTCATGATTTTATAAATACTTTATGTAGAGTATTCGATTCCAAAGTTATTGGTTTTTCTAATTTATTTGCAAATATAATCTTTTACAAACCGTAGCAGTGTGAATGATATTAAAAGTTACAAAATTGGAAATATCTCTAATAACTGGTCAAGGTTTTAAAAATTGGTTAAACAATGTTTAAAGTTTTCATGTTTGGATTTTTCAGTAGCAAAAACTATTATCTTCTATAAAGTAAAGCTGGAGAAATGGAAACAAAAAATATATTTTGTCTATGAAATTTCGGTTCTTACAGACAGACAGTTCTACTTTCTGAAAAGGTTGTGAAACAGTGTTTTTAAAAAAATCTAAAATCTGTAAAAAAGGATTTAAACACTTTGTCAATTAAGGCATATATTTATCATTTTTCTATATAAACAAGAGGGCGATATAAGATTCATATAAGCTCTCTTGATACTGTGTAATGTTTAAATTTCGAAATTTTGTTTAAAAAATATTTGTCACTCTGTGTGTATATTGATTTACTTAGCAAACATATTTAGTTAGTTTATTAAAGCATGTTAATAATACATATTTGTTATTTAATTAGTTTATAGAATTTTTTTTAGATATAGTTTACAAAATTAAATGTAATTTAAACTTAACAGATGTTAACTAATTATTAACTTAAATATTTAGATACTCAAAAATTTAAAATAAAATCTTTATGAAATATCAAACAGTAATTTTATTGCAAAAATTCTAAAGAAGTTTTCCACTTTAAAAAATTAATTACTAAAACTAGCAACTTCTAATTATGCAAGTGTCAAAAGTAACTGAATAAACAATATTTTTAAAATCGATTGACTATTGTTACTGTTTTTATATTCAAAACTAATTTACATTTATGACAGATGGCATGCCATTAAATTGTTCAATTATTAGTCGTGTCTGAGTATAACAAAAAAACACATTCATAAATAAATGACATTGTCATTGATGTATGTTTGTAGTATGAATGTTGCTGCAATTACTACGCGTAGTGAACTAAATATTCAAATCAATATTTATTTTATGTAAAATCTACTTGTTTATATTTTACACAAATAATTTAGTTTATTTCAATTTGTTAAAAATTCATAAACATATAGGCATTAAATTATCAATATAACAATTGTGGAATTTACAAATGACACTTCAACATCAAGGGAAACATTTCAATTAAGCGTCAAACTGAAATGGATTATGATTTTCGATTTCATTATAGGAAATATTGAGAACTTGTGTAGTAGATCACAAGTTCTCAATATTTGGTTGAAGAACTGAACTAGAACTAAAGTAGAACTGAACTAGAACTGAACTAGAACTGAACTAGAACTGAACTAGAACTGAACTAGAACTGAACTAGAACTGAACTAGAACTGAACTAGAACTGAACAAGAACTGAACTAGAACTGAACTAGAACTGAACTAGAACTGAACTAGAACTGAACTAGAACTGAACTAGAACTGAACTAGAACTGAACTAGAACTGAACTAGAACTGAACTAGAACTGAACTAGAACTGAACTAGAACTGAACTAGAACTGAACTAGAACTGAACTAGAACTGAACTAGAACTGAACTAGAACTGAACTAGAACTGAACTAGAACTGAACTAGAACTGAACTAGAACTGAACTAGAACTGAACTAGAACTGAACTAGAACTGAACTAGAACTGAACTAGAACTGAACTAGAACTGAACTAGAACTGAATTAGAACTGAACTATAAATGCACATAGTAGCTTTCGCATCTAAATGGAACTATATTAAAATTTATAAAAAATTCATAATTTGGACAGTTTTGTTATTAATGCATGATTTATAGTCAAACTTACATTATTTAAAATCTACGATTACATTCAAAAGGCTAAAAGTTTTAAATTTGATTTTACGATTATTTTTGTTTAACAACTAATTAAATCCTCAGACGCAATCTAATCAGGTGTTCTACATGCTAAATAATATAAATAAACTTAACATTTAATGAATGTAAATGAATAAAAACCGTTTGATATTTAAATGCGGAAAAGATTGTCGACTATTAAATCCATAAAGAATTAGTTAAATCTTATTAATCACAATTGAAATTTATACATTCAATGTAATAAAAGTTAATTTTATAAGCAATATATTTCAATATTTTCTTTTATAAACATTTATAAAAACCACAACAACACTAAAACTCAAAGCTAATTAATCGTGTCATTTACCCACAGAATACTGACTGCTAACAACGTCTATAACTCTATGTAATCGTGCTTGTGTCATGACAGTCTGTGAGTCTGGGTATTATACGCCTCTGATATTTTAATGATGCCGCTCTGATGAATGAATGCTTTGGATTATTTATTTTTATTTATTGATTGTAATAACAATTAATCTTTTTCCAATATTATTTTTGCTGCTGCTACTCGTATAGTAAATTAAAAAACAATAATAACAATAACAGCATTAACTAATTAATATTTTAATAATAATTGTTGATTTTTAACAATTTTTTTTATCGATAAATGAAAAACAAATTTTATAAACTACTGTTGGCATGTTAACTGTTTAAACAGTTAAATATTTTATTATTTTCACCTTCTTCTTTCCTTTAATTAAATAAAATATTTAACAACAATTACAGTAAGCAAATATGGGAAAAACTATAAAAAATAATCGTGTTAAAACAATTTCAATATGTAAACAATTGAAACTGTATTCTATTAATAATAATTTTGTTTAATTCCACAAACAAAAGTCATGAGAATGAATTGCAAAAAAAGAGGAAAAGTTATTTAACTTGTCTTCGAATGTTTAAATAATAATAGTAATAATAATGTTGTTGAAAAATTTTACACGATTGTTTATCGGAAGAGTTTGTGAGTTTTGTGTATAATGTATAATGTATGAACTAGAACTTGACTAGAACAGAACTAGAACTGAAACTAGAACTGAACTAGAACTGAACTAGAACTGAACTAGAACTGAACTAGAACTGGAACTAAGAACTGAACTAGAACTGAACTAGAACTGAACTAGAACTGAACTAAGAAATGAACTAGAACTGAACTAGAACTGAACTAGAACTGAACTGACTAACTAGAGACTGAACTAGAACTGACTAGAACTGAACTAGACTGAACTAGAACTGAACTAGAACTGAACTAGAACTGAACTAGAACTGAACTAGAACTGAACTAGAACTGAACTAGAACTGAACTAGAACTGAACTAGAACTGAACTAGAACTGAACTAGACTGACTAGAACTGACTAGAACTGAAACTAGAACTGAACTAGAACTGAACTAGAACTGAACTAGAACTGAACTAGAACTGAACTAGAACTGACTAGAACTGAACTAGAACTGAGACTAGACGGAACTAGAACTGACTAGAACTGAACTACTGAACTAGAACTGAACTAGAACTGAACTAGAACTGAACTAGAACTGAACTAGAACTGAACTAGAACTGAACTAGAACTGAACTAGAACTGAACTAGAACTGAACTAGAACTGAACTAGAACTGAACTAGAACTGAACTAGAACTGAACTAGAACTGAACTAGAACTGAACTAGAACTGAACTAGAACTGAACTAGAACTGAACTAGAACTGAACTAGAACTGAACTAGAACTGAACTAGAACTGAACTAGAACTGAACTAGAACTGAACTAGAACTGAACTAGAACTACTAGAACTGAACTAGAACTGAACTAGAACTGAACTAGAACTGAATAACTGAACTACTGAACTAGAACTGAACTAGAACTGAACTAGAACTGAACTAGAACTGAACTAGAACTGAACTAGAACTGAACTAGAACTGAACTAGAACTGAACTAGAACTGAACTAGAACTGAACTAGAACTGAACTAGAACTGAACTAGAACTGAACTAGAACTGAACTAGAACTGAACTAGAACTGAACTAGAACTGAACTAGAACTGAACTAGAACTGAACTAGAACTGAACTAGAACTGAACTAGAACTGAACTAGAACTGAACTAGAACTGAACTAGAACTGAACTAGAACTGAACTAGAACTGAACTAGAACTGAACTAGAACTGAACTAGAACTGAACTAGAACTGAACTAGAACTGAACTAGAACTGAACTAGAACTGAACTAGAACTGAACTAGAACTGAACTAGAACTGAACTAGAACTGAACTAGAACTGAACTAGAACTGAACTAGAACTGAACTAGAACTGAACTAGAACTGAACTAGAACTGAAGTAGAACTGAACTAGAACTGAACTAGAACTGAACTAGAACTGAACTAGAACTGAACTAGAACTGAACTAGAACTGAACTAGAACTGAACTAGAACTGAACTAGAACTGAACTAGAACTGAACTAGAACTGAACTAGAACTGAACTAGAACTGAACGAGATCTGAATAAGAATTGTATCTGAACAACCTAAATATCGCTGAAACATATTTGGTTTTATATTTTGATATCAAAATATTCAAATATTTTTAAGGTGCCACTTGTCGTATGATTAATATAAATTTCATAGTTTATGGAGTCTGTTAAATATTTGAAATTTTTGCACAAATTTAAATATAAAAATATAATTTTATTTTAACTTTTCTCTATATTGATCATATTAAAAAATTCCTGTATTAATTCCCAATATAATAATATTACACCTGTGATTGTTAATTTTCCTAAATTTATAATTATAATATCACTTTTTCTTAATACTCTCAACTTCTTAATTCCTGTTTAAATACATAATTTGACATTTGTTTGGTTTTTTTTATTATAATTCCTTTTCAAAACACAAGATTCTTGTTATTTTGTGATTTATCTTTAACTCTAAAGCTCCCAGTATTTTAGAATGTGACAAATGTCTGTCAAATTTTTGCAAAAATATAATTTTTCAAACATGTATTTCAAGATAAATTTGAAATGTAGTATTTCGTCTCTCTGTTTGGTATTCTTATTGAATACTGTTTTGGCACAACTGTAGTAAATGTTTTTTGTTTATTAAATAAGTAGAGAAGAGATTTGTGTTGTTTTTGGTAATAAATTTATAAATGACAGGCTTTGCACACTCTTATACATATACATACATATTTAGTTTAGAGACTAAGATTATTTAGTCATTAATCAAAATACCGTGGGGAAGTGACAGAAGAAGTTATAAAATTTGCGAGTTTAAATAAAAAAAAAAAAATTAACACCAAGGGGTATTGCATACTTTGGGGAACTTTTAGTTATCAGAGAAATAAATTTAAATTATGGCAAATGCAATTTTGACTTTAAAATGGAATCTAGATAAGAAATTCTTTATTAAAACAATAAAGAAAAGTTGTTAAATTAATAACATTTACAATTTAACTTTAATTTATATAATATTTTTAAATTATCATTGTTATTGTATCCTCTTGTGTCCATATTTAACTCTATAATTTACTTGATTGTTGTTAATTTATTTGTGAATTTATTAACAAACAAACAATTCAATTAATTTTTCTTTTTAGACAATCCAGTCACGTCCCATCATCGACAAAAACAAAAAAATTAGTGCGTTTTTACGCTCAATAAACAGGGTCAATATGTGAATTCAATTGACTGAATGACAGGGCTTTCGTTCAAGGAGATGTTGAAACTGAGAAGGTAAGAATAAATGAATTTATTTGATATATTTTTTTCAACGAATTTATATTTAACTGAAAAAAATTGAAGGAATCCAAAATGCATATTCTATTATCAGACTTAACTAAACAATTCGCATTCAAAAATTTCTAATTTAATATTTCAAATTTATAATTAATCTATTTAAATAATTTATATAATTCTGTTAAATCGTTCATGTATTTAGAGCAACATTTAAGTGTTTAACTATTTAACAACAATCAAAATTAAATCAATCTAATTTAATGATAATTTTATAAATACAAAGTTACATTTTTTTATTTATTTTTAATAATTTACAATTTTTCGCATTGTATTCCAATATTTGATTGTTTTCAGCTGTTATTTTTATTGTATTATATTGAATGTATTGTATAGTTAATTAAAACATCTATACGCAATTAGCAAATATTGTTAATACGTGCGTATTTATTTATAAAAACAATATTAAAACAAGGTTAATTTCATATATACAAACATGTACATAATAAATAGTAATTTTGAACAAATACACTAAATTAACAAGCACACACATTAGACCGAGTGCCAAAAACAAAAATTTGCTTCATGTACTTTCTTATGTTCTATGATATGACAATTCCCATTATAATCTAGTCTATAGCCCCGAATAAAATGTAGTCTATAGTCCCGACTATAATCTAGTCTATAGTTCTAAATATAATCTAATAGATAGTATGGACTATATTTTATTAAACTCTCTAGTCACAATCATTTACTGGACCATAACCTCGTCTACAGATTCAACTTTAGTAGAGTCTACCGCAGAAAAATATAGTACTGACTTCTACTTACCCAACAACTTACATAAACAGTCTATAGTGTAGTCTAAATTCTAGTATAAAGACTAGTTTAAAGTCTAGTTTAAAGTCTAGTCTAAAGTCTATTCGAAAGTCTAGTCTAAAGTCTAACCTAAAGTCTAATCTAAAGTCTAATCTAAAGTCTAGTCTAAAGTCTAGTCTAAAGTCTAGTCTCAAGTCTAGTCTAAAGTCTAGTCTAAAGTCTAGTCTAAAGTCTAGTCTAAAGTCTAGTCTAAAGTCTAGTCTAAAGTCTAGTCTAAAGTCTAGTCTAAAGTCTAGTCTAAAGTCTAGTCTAAAGTCTAGTCTAAATTCTTGTCTAAAGTCCAGTCTAAAGTCTAGTCTAAAGTCTAGTCTAAAGTCTAGTCTAAAGTCTAGTCTAAAGTCTAGTCTAAAGTCTAGTCTAAAGTCTAGTCTAAAGTTTAGTCTAGTCTAAAGTCTAGTCTAAAGTCTATTCTAAAATCTAGTCAAAAGTCTAGTCTAAAGTCTATAGTCTAGTCTATAGTCTAGTCTATAGTTTAGTCTATCTTTTAGTCTATAGTCTAGTCTATAGTCTAGTCTATAGTCTAGTCTATAGTCTAGTCTATAGTCTAGTCTATAGTCTAGTCTATAGTCTAGTCTATAGTCTAGTCTATAGTCTAGTCTATAGTCTAGTCTATAGTCTAGTCTATAGTCTAGTCTATAGTCTAGTCTATAGTCTAGTCTATAGTCTAGTCTATAGTCTAGTCTATAGTCTAGTCCTATAGTCTAGTCTATAGTCTAGTCTATAGTCTAGTCTATAGTCTAGTCTATAGTCTAGTCTATAGTCTAGTCTATAGTCTAGTCTATAGTCTAGTCTATAGTCTAGTCTATAGTCTAGTCTATAGTCTAGTCTATAGTCTAGTCTATAGTCTAGTCTATAGTCTAGTCTATAGTCTAGTCTATAGTCTAGTCTATAGTCTAGTCTATAGTCTAGTCTATAGTCTAGTCTATAGTCCTAGTCTATAGTCTAGTCTATAGTCTAGTCTATAGTAGTCTAGTCTATAGTCTAGTCTATAGTCTAGTCTATAGTCTAGTCTATAGTCTAGTCTATAGTCTAGTCTATAGTCTAGTCTATAGGCTAGTCTATAGTCTAGTCTATAGTCTAGTCTATAGTCTAGTCCTATAGTCTAGTCTATAGTCCTAGTCTATAGTCTAGTCTATAGTCTAGTCTATAGTCTAGTCTATAGTCTAGTCTATAGTCTAGTCTATAGTCTAGTCTATAGTCTAGTCTATAGTCTAGTCCTATAGTCTAGTCTATAGTCTAGTCTATAGTCTAGTCTATAGTCTAGTCTATAGTCTAGTCTATAGTCCTAGTCTATAGTCTAGTCTATAGTCTAGTCTATAGTCTAGTCTATAGTCTAGTCTATAGTCTAGTCTATAGTCTAGTCTATGTCTAGTCTATAGTCCTAGTCTATAGTCTAGTCTATAGTCTAGTCTATAGTCTAGTCTATAGTCTAGTCTATAGTCTAGTCTATAGTCTAGTCTATAGTCTAGTCTATAGTCTAGTCTATAGTCTAGTCTATAGTCTAGTCTATAGTCCTAGTCTATAGTCTAGTCTATAGTCTAGTCTATAGTCTAGTCTATAGTCTAGTCTATAGTCTAGTCTATAGTCTAGTCTATAGTCTAGTCTATAGTCTAGTCTATAGTCTAGTCTATAGTCTAGTCTATAGTCTAGTCTATAGTCTAGTCTATAGTCTAGTCTATAGTCTAGTCTATAGTCTAGTCTATAGTCTAGTCTATAGTCTAGTCTATAGTCTAGTCTATAGTCTAGTCTATAGTCTAGTCTATAGTCTAGTCTATAGTCTAGTCTATAGTCTAGTCTATAGTCTAGTCTATAGTCTAGTCTATAGTCTAGTCTATAGTCTAGTCTATAGTCTAGTCTATAGTCTAGTCTATAGTCTAGTCTATAGTCTAGTCTATAGTCTAGTCTATAGTCTAGTCTATAGTCTAGTCTATAGTCTAGTCTATAGTCTAGTCTATAGTCTAGTCTATAGTCTAGTCTATAGTCTAGTCTATAGTCTAGTCTATAGTCTAGTCTATAGTCTAGTCTATAGTCTAGTCTAGTCTATAGTCTAGTCTATCTAGTCTATAGTCTAGTCTATAGTCTAGTCTATAGTCTAGTCTATAGTCTAGTCTATAGTCTAGTCTATAGTCTAGTCTATAGTCTAGTCTATAGTCTAGTCTATAGTCTAGTCTATAGTCTAGTCTATAGTCTAGTCTATAGTCTAGTCTATAGTCTAGTCTATAGTCTAGTCTATAGTCTAGTTATAGTCTAGTCTATAGTCTAGTCTATAGTCTAGTCTATAGTCTAGTCTATAGTCTAGTCTATAGTCTAGTCTATAGTCTAGTCTATAGTCTAGTCTATAGTCTAGTCTATAGTCTAGTCTATAGTCTAGTCTATAGTCTAGTCTATAGTCTAGTCTATAGTCTAGTCTATAGTCTAGTCTATAGTCTAGTCTATAGTCTAGTCTATAGTCTAGTCTATAGTCTAGTCTATAGTCTAGTCTATAGTCTAGTCTATAGTCTAGTCTATAGTCTAGTCTATAGTCTAGTCTATAGTCTAGTCTATAGTCTAGTCTATAGTCTAGTCTATAGTCTAGTCTATAGTCTAGTCTATAGTCTAGTCTATAGTCTAGTCTATAGTCTAGTCTATAGTCTAGTCTATAGTCTAGTCTATAGTCTAGTCTATAGTCTAGTCTATAGTCTAGTCTATAGTCTAGTCTATAGTCTAGTCTATAGTCTAGTCTATAGTCTATAGTCTAGTCTATAGTCTAGTCTATAGTCTAGTCTATAGTCTAGTCTATAGTCTAGTCTATAGTCTAGTCTATAGTCTAGTCTATAGTCTAGTCTATAGTCTAGTCTATAGTCTAGTCTATAGTCTAGTCTATAGTCTAGTCTATATCTAGTCTATAGTGTGTCTATAGTGTAGTCTATAGCCTAGTCTATAGTGTAGTCTATAGTCTAGTCTATAGTCTAGTATTTTGTCTGTGGTTTAGTATAGGCTGTAGTATCTTCTTCCAAATAGTCTCTAGTATACTCTTCAAGAAAGATGTCTATTGTCAAATGTTGTCTTGATAATAGTCTAGCCTCGACTATATTCTACTATATATCCTCTGGCATAGTATGATCTGTCTACTATTTTCTATTCTATAGATTCGTTTATGATCTAGTGTACAGCTCACAAGCAGCCACAATTTGTTTATAAGTAGAGGATAATAATGTTTCCATAAATTTATTAACAAAATTCGGGCCAAAGTTTTTCAGGCCTATGCTAAGTATTTATATGTGTATTATTTACTCAATTTCACAGACGCCGTATAAATACATAATAGAGAAATTTATTCAATTAACTTGAATCATTTGTTGTCATTGTATTGTATACATATTTATAAACAATTTATTTTGTTATTTATTTATGTTACATATAAGTATTCATAATTTTACACGTATTCATAAGCAAATTTATTATAAATCATATATTTTTATAAAATTTTTTTATACTAAAATCTTTTGGAAACGTAGACTTCTAAATCAAATATATGTATATAGGTAATCTTCAAATAAGGTTATTAATAATTGTATTTAACAATACAATGGAAAAGTTAAATAATAAAAAAGAACAAAGATTATTTACCAATAGGATTTTCCAATAAACGAAATACCATTTAAATATATTATAAATACTGAATCAGGAAAACCATTATTAAATTGTTAATTGTTAAAATTTTGAAAAAGGAAATAAATTGAAGAATCCTGTTCAAAACCATTATATATTAATTGAATTTTTATTTGACACTTAGTATACAAGACTTCTCTGTAGGAAAGGAGAGTAAATAGTTACTGCACTGAACTTAAGTAATCTTATAATCAACCTTAGCTAACAAGTGGTGTTGGGTCTCTTAGTAAAACTCCAAAAAGTTCTTATTAGTTTATTTACCTTACTTTCACCCTACCTTTTAAACAAATTAACAGTTTTCTATAGGTATATCATCCATAAAACTATTACTACCACTTCTTTTTGCTTTAATAGCTTTACGAGTCCATTGCGTAAAAGAAAATCCTATTTAAAATTCTACCACTCATCCGTTAACCTTCAAAGCCTTGTTATTTTTCTTTGTCACATGTTCACAAGTTTTCCAATGTTGA